GCGTTACGACTTTTCACTTATCAACAATGCAATCTAAAAAATTATTTTTTCGCCTCCGAAAATGATGTTGTGACGCCAATCCCAAGCCTAGTAATTCTTTATTGAAATTTTCAAATAATCATGAATGTTCATGCAGCCTCAGCCGCTAATTCACCCCTTATGTTGTTTTAAGAGAAAAATGTGTACCCTTTCTCAGCATCGTATAATTCTCAACCTGCGTCTCAAGTGTTGAAGGAAATATATAATAAATTCCCATTCCTCAAAGGTCGAATTGCATGCACAACTTACGAGAGTAATGACAACTCCACGTCGCCATGGCACCCGTGCTAGACTATTATCCGCAAATCCGCACACTTTTATTGCACTATTTACCTTGGCACAGCCTGAAGTTGCCTGTACACCTATCCCTTTTGCCTTTGACGCTCAAAAAGTTCTACTTGTCACTTCGATGAAACACAAAACAACATAGTACTCCAAATCAGAAAAGATTACATTTAATAGAAGACATTAACCCTCCCTCTTACCTTCGATAAACAACATCAGTGCATGTCAATTTACTTGGAGGACGAATAGCCAAGCTACACAGAACAAATGAGCAGTTGCCACCCCCAGAACCTCACCTCAGGTGTCAGGCCAGCAACACAAGAAGCCCAGCTAACAGCCACAATGTGAGAGCAGAATTATGCTTTTTTTAAAAGCAAAACTAAAGTCTCAAGTCCTAATAAAGTAAAACTTTACAAAGCACTCCCCTATATCAAAAGGATAAATTTGGATATCACTGTTCACGTTTTAGGAAACTTTCGCCAATAAACGCAAGTGAGAAAAAGGAAAAACGGATCGTAATTAAAGATTGATAAGAAAAATGTTTGGACCACATGTTGAAAGGTGAATAGTGGCAGGGTTTGAGTGTAGGAAGTAAGTGAAGCTAAAGGCGTCTGTAGATGTCCAGTACTTGATGGCAGCCTGGACATTGATGTTCCATATCCTTGCACGGAAGATAGCAGAAAGGAATCAGGCAGCAGAAGAAAGACTCTGCCAAACAATGCAGACGTACCCAAGTAGCAATGAAAAGAGAAAATATTCTTTGAAAGAAAAAATACTATGCAATAGGCGCATTAAAACAACTAACTGCTACATTTAATAAGGATCTGTCGAATGCTGAAAATAAGAACGTACCCTAAAATGAAGATGAGGCAACAAGAAAGCTCTACGAGTTTTCCGCTCTGAGTATTCGTTTTGGTAACAACTGGACGACTACAAGTTGGGCAGAAGATCTGTTGAGAGCGGGATGACAAAACAGGCTGTTGTCGAATAACGACTGTCGTGCGAGCTGCAAGTGAAAAGAGGAACATATACGACTCCCTTAATGAGGCAGTTTGATATCACCAATCAAAATCAAAGTACTTGAAGCAATGCAAATAATGTTACATAGATAATTCTAATCTGCCCAGGTAAGGGGCAAAGCCTCCCCAATTGTCAGTCATCATTATAATGAGTGCAGCAGACTTAAGACCCAGATCCCATACACAAGAAACTTGAAAGAAAGCCTGTACCTATAAGACACTCCAGAAGAATACATTTCGAAGGCTGGAGCCAGAGCTGTAAAAAGATTTTAGAATCAGATGTAATGTCGGTTTCATTAATGAACGCGTTCAGAACTACGGACCATACCCTATTCACTCTTAATGAAAAGTAAAACGCATGCCAAGAATACGTAGATTGTGCTAACTGATTAAATTACTCGAAAGGATTAAGGATCTTGCTAGTACGCCACAAAAGCAAAGGCAATATGCAGACAAACAAGGAATAAAGCTTCAGAAAAAAGAAAGTACCACAGCGATTAAAAGTAAGATACTTGAGGACAGTTGCACTGATACCAGAATAAACAGTAAGATAGATTTTATGCATAAATAAGCAGAATCCAGAATCAAGTTAAATAGTGACGAGCGATCGGAGCTATTTGCGTTAGGATCATAAAAGGACCACTTAAGTGGCAACTGATCAAGCGATCGAATTTCGCACCTCAATCTCCAATGCACAGTCCGAAAGAGATACATACCAACACCAGTGCCTTCATCTGTTCCATTAACTTGTGTG